GACGGATACTTCGTTACGTTTGAATGATGAAGGATTTCTTTCAACTTGATTTAGCGATATCGATCGAGTCCGGAAGAAATGAGGGTTAATACGTTTCTTGCATAGTACAATGTGTCATATGAATAAAAATATTCATATTCGAATGCGAGTAATAGGGCCTCGGTAATCCCGCGGGTTGTTATGAAGACCGCGATCTTCTCATGGAAGAAGTATTTCCGATTAACTCTTTATTGCGTTTTGGGGGTGTGTGAGGCGACATCCGGTCACGCCGCCCCGTTTGCCTCCCCAGGTCATCCGTCCCGTGAGTTCGTCCCCAGCGGGCGCGAGAGGCCTGTCTCCAGCTCTGCGTCTCTTTCGTCGTGGTCGGATGCGTGCTCTCGTGTCTCGTCCGTTTCGTCTCTCCTCGGCTCTCTGACGCCGTGTGGCGTCGCTCGCTTTTTCGTCTCTCTCCGGACGTCTTCCGTGGCAGCCCAACTGTGACAGTAATGGTCCTCAAGTCCTCCGCAGCGCCTCCAATCCATTATCTGTGATATTTAGTTTCTTCCTAAATTTAACTTTGACTAAATATTCGTTAGCCTTGTTGTTTGAACACCGTTTTATTATTTGTCATCAGTCGTCTCCTTAGGCGGCTTGACCTGTCAGTGGAAGTATGCCGGACCCTTCATTTTGCCTCCGTTTAACCGCTCTTAATTAGCTTTCTCTTGTTTTCGGCCTAGAGTTAACGTGAAAAGTCCACTTTTAAGGCCCTCAACACGACACAAGCCCTGCCAAGAGGCGGCACCTGTGTAGCTCGACCTTGACCCTGTTCAAAGGAGCTCATTTTCTTTTAGGATAGAGAAAATGTAGTACTGGGGGGGCTGGGATTCTACTCTTCCCTAATCCCGTGCACTGCTGATGGAGTGACATCTAGTTGATGTAAAATACACGTACACTTTGTTGATGTAAATATAGGAACGTAAATTTTACTTAAACGTGATGTCATTTTCATGGCAATCGCAAGAAATTTACATTGTTTGCAAAAAAATGATATCTTGTTTACGTGAACATGCTGCTTGGGGAGCTGTCTTCCCATTGGAGGGCGATGCGGTCTATTGAGTGCTCCATCTCCGGTGCCGATGCCGATCCCCTTTCAATGGTGACAAATTACTCCGGATCCACCGGAAATCCTGCCCGTCGAGCGAATCATCTCATTTGAGCGACGTGGATCCATCTACGGGGGATCTTTGGGGGTTCGAGTGGATGGGCAGCCTTCAGCGCTATTAACCCTTTCCGGTCTTTTTACTTTTCCATGGACACCTCCGCCAGGTCCGATCATCTTTCGGATGACATCCAAAACTTAGCTACCAGAGCTTTCAGGGTCTAGAAGAAAAAATCTTATGATCACGTTCCGTTCAGTCCCATCTGAGCCCTGTGTTCTGGTTTCTGTCCCGTTCCAAAATAATGATTAGTTTCCTTATGTTCCGTTCCAGGAAATACTAACATTTATTTTCCATTGCTCTATGTTTCTTTCCATTTTTCGATGGGGAAATTTAGCAAAACCGAAAATTGACTTTTTTTCATTCCCGTGAAGCCGTGAATTAATTTTCCCCCCAATATTCGCGATTGCGACACAAATGGGGAGATTACTCGGAAAGGAACAAGACTGAACGGAACGAAATCAATTCGTTATCAGGAAAAAACAACTTTTTTTCTGTTCCGGTTTTTTGTCCCTCTACCGTCAATGAACAGCTTTCCATTTTCGCTTTCCGGTCCGTTTAATACTGACGGTTTAGTCCTGCCCAACTTTTAGTGGATGGAACCTCAGTTTCATTTTTCATATTATAAACACTTGTTTTAATTGAGTCTTGGTTAAAATATACACACCAGATCATGGAAATTTTCATGAGCGA